TAGGTCATGAGAACTCTGTATTCATGAGTGGATTAATGTCATTATCATGGGAGTGGGTTTCTGATTACACAAACAAAATAAGAGTTTGGCCTCATTTCCTCTCTCTCTCTGGCATGTGCTGGCTTGCCCTCCTGCCATCTCATGACGGGGCATGAAAGCCCCTGCCAGGTCCCAGAGCTATGCTCTTGGACTTCCCAGACTCTAGAACTGTGAGAAGTAATTTTTTTTTCTTCACGAATTACCCAATTGGTGGTATTCTTTTATAGAAGCAGAAAACGAACTAAAACAGAGTATTTAGTTCATTTATATTTTATATAATTATGGATAGGTTTGAATTAATATTGACTCCCTTTTTGTTTGTTTTCTATTTGACCTACTGCGGTTCTCCTTTTTTCTTATCATTTTTGGAAGTAATCAATGTTTTATTTAATTTTTTCTTCTATGGTTAGTTTTCAATTATTTTATTGTTCCCTTAGTGATTATAATAGGCATTCTTGACTTCTTATAGTACTAATATAAATGATTGCTTTTACCAGTTTACTTACATTGCCAGAAATCTTTACATTCCATTTACTCACAGTCACTGCTGCATTATTATTGTCATACATTTTCAGTTCTGCATATAATTTAAACTCCACCAGACATTAAAATTATTGTTTTGTGCAGTTGGCATTTGTTGAAATTTCCATATATTTTCTTATTATACTATTCGTTATTTCCTCCAACATTTCCATGTTTCCATCTGGAATCATTTTCCTTAGGTCTGAAGGGTTGGGCTCAATGTTATTTAGCTTTTTATTTAGTGTAGTTTGTTTTTAATTAATTCTTTCACTCTGCCTTTGTTTGAAAACGTGCATGTTTCTCCATTTTTGAAGGATATATTTATTGGATATAGAATTGTAGATTGGCAGTTGTTTTCCTTCAACCATTGAAAAATATCTTTTGTCACTTCAGATGAGATATACCTCTCAGTTTTACTTACCATTGTTTCTTTAAAAGTAATAGATGCCCTTCCCCCCACCACTAGCTGCTTTAAAGATTTTAAGTTTTGATTTTAAGCAATTTGACAATTCACCTCTTTGTGTTTATCCTGTTTGGGATTTGCTACATTTTTCCATTTCAAAATATCCACCTAATTTCTCTTTATGGATTTGAATTACTTATTAAAATTATCCATGCTTTCATCTACTTTGTTCTTCTTGTTCTATTTACTTGAGCAGTATAATCATAGTTTTACTAAAGCCCTGGTTTGGTAACCCCAACCTATTGATAATCTGTTGGTCTGCCTCTATTTTATGATTTTTCTGTTGCTTATTAGTCATATTGCTTCCTTACATGACCAATAATTTTAAAAATGTTTTCCAGATAGTGTGTACTAAAGAACTGGAGTCACTCTAGAAGATGTTACCTTCCAACAGAAAGTATTCCTCCTGTCCTGTTAGGAAGACAAACCAAGGTTTTGATCAATTCAATTTAGTCAGAAATTGAGCTGAATTGCTGCTGAGTCGCAGTGTAGTGAGAACCAGTTCCTCTCTGGTTTGCCTGTTCCCCTAAAGCATTGACCTCTGGCTTTTTGACTGAAAGCCTGAAGAGTCTCTATGTCCTTGGTACCAAAAGATTTGAGACCTAGCTCTGCCCCATACTGGTTCCAACCTAGATCTCTAGCTTTCCTTCCTATGTATCTTCAAAATCTGACAGAGATCTTGAGAAGAGTGGTTTTGCAGTGAGATCAGTTGCTCACTTTGTTTCCTAAGCACAAGCCTGTGAGAGATTTTATTCTGCCTTTTAGAATCTTTCATCCTAGTTCATCAGTCTTCTACATAGCATCAGAACCCAACAAAAGCCCATGGGGGACATCCAGTGGTGTATTTATGTCCCTCTGACTTCCCACCCTGTCACACCAGCTCGGCATGGTTGCTACAGTTTTGGTGGTTTTCTTTCTCTCAGTAGAGTCTCTCTGCCTATCTAAGCCCAATCTTTAATCTATGCCCAGAATTAACAAAATGTCCCTAGGGTAAAACAGAAAAATGGCTGGACATCGTAAGTGGCCCTCAGAAATATTTCCACTCCCCTCACTGGAAAGTAGTATTTTCAATTATCCTTATTTACACAATCCCTGGCATTTTTAAAAACGTGGTTTTTATAATTTATTCAGGTTTTAATTTTTGGTGAAAGTATTAGCCTGTAACAACCTACCATATGCAGCCTGGAAGCAGCAATCTTACTTAATTTTATAGATGTCTTCATGGTTTAGTTTGGAGTCACTAATATGAAACTTTGTTACTGCTATTATTTCTATTTATCATTTGTCATCTATTTTCAATAGGCATTAAACCAGAACATCTGAACACTGCAATCAAAATTCATCATTATAAGCATTAAATCATTAAGGAACTGCTGCATCAAGGAGCAGATCAGTGGAACATAACAGAATTCCAGAAATAAACCCAAAGAAATAAACCCAAAGTACATAATTTGGGTTTTATTATGTACATAATAAAATTGGCATTTTTAATTTGTAGAAAAAATATGCATGTAAGTAACTAGTACCAGGGAAACTGAGGATCTCTTTGGGGAAACAAAAAAGCATCATCTGGTCAAGTGTGGTAGCTAATGCCTGTAATCCCAGCACTTTGGGAGGCTGAGACAGGCGTTTGAGACCAGCCTGAACAACATGGCAAAACCTCGTCTCTACTAAAAAACACAAAAATTCGCTGGGCGTAGTGGTGGACGCCTGTAATCCCAGCTGCTTGGCAACCTAAGGCAGGACAGTCTCTTGAACCCAGGAGGCACAGGTTGCAGTGAGCCGAGATTGCGCCGTTGCACTCCAGCCTGGGTGACAAGAGCGAAACTCCGTCTCAAAAAAAAAGAGAAGTATCATCCATGTCTTTTCCTTTGTTATCAAAATACATTCTTGACTGATACAGATCTAAACACAAAAAAAGAAAATGAAACTATAAAATACTCAAAAGAAAGCAGGAGATTTTTTATATATACGATCACTAGAGTGAGAAATGCCTAAGAATAAATCAAAGCCCATATTGAATTAGAAATCATAAAAGAAAATATTGACAAATCTGAAAAATTTTGCCTGGTAAAGCATGATAATCTAAGTCTCAAATGAACAACAAATTAAGAAAAAGTATTTGTAACTCACACCCGGCAAAGAGTTAATTTTCTTGATATACAACAAGTTCCTATAAATCGGTATGACCAAGATCAACAACCAAATGGAAAAAATGGACAAATTATATAATTAGTCACTGCAGATTCTTAAACATATGAAAAGACACTTATCCTCACTCGCAATAAGAGGAATGCAAATAAAAATTTCCCTGAGATACCAATTGCAACTATCAGATTCACAAGAATTAGGCAGTTTACTCATAAACAATGGTGAAGATGTTGAGAAATAAGCACTTCTCTCACTTCAGCAAGTGTAAAGTGATACACTTTCTATAAGGGACAGTTACCAAGGTCAGTTCCCCATTCAACAAATATTTATTGTCATGTCACTATGTGATAGAGGCCACGATGTTCTGCGGAACCTTACTGGTGAGCTGAAAACACAACAATTCAATGAGCATCTGTGACAAAAGGTGATAAATTTAAAGTGAGGGCTGTTACTGGATACTATGGCAACATCAGGAAAAGCTTTCCAGAAGTATCATTTAAGCTGAATACTGAAAAGAGGGAATTAGTTGGTTATGCAGCTCACTTTCCTAACTTGCTCTGCCCTACCTTGCTCAGAGGGGACTGCATTTCATGGGCCCCTTATCCTCCAGTTTCAATGCAATTCAGCCAAAGGAAAGCACGGTGGGAGAATGGTTGGTAAGGGGAGGAGAAAAGCTGGATATTTCACTTCCTCATTCCTTTTTGTTTCAAGAGGACCCCAAGCAATGTTTGAATCTCCTCCATGGTTCCAGAACTCACAGGATAGCCCCTTTCTCACTGGTCCATGGCTCCTGCTCTGATTTTAATATCTATCTGGTTCCTGGGATCAAATAACATCATCTCTTCCCTACCTCCCTCCAGGACTAAGGGTAGCAATGATTTATTGTTCTTGGCAGTCTCTAAGTTACATCAGTTCCCTTGCTTGCCTTCTCAGTTTTTCTATTATCTATGTGACCAGTTCCCTGTATTAAATTTCTTCCTGTCTGAAACTACAGTTGTTTCAATTTTTTGGAGTAAACTTGAGCAGACTAATATACCAGATAAAAAAGATTAGTGCTCCAAGAAGGAAAAACAGAATGTCCTAAAAGTAAGTCTACCTAGAGGAAATATAGTGGAAGGAGGTGAGAGAAAGGGGAAGCAAAACAATTCAAAATCAAGTGTTTTCAGGTGAGTACATCCATTGATGAGAATTTTTTCAGGAGGATGACCCTAGTAGCAGTGTGTTGAATGGAATAGAAAGGGAAAGACTGGAGGAAGAGGGTCCAGGTGGGAGGCTGCAGTAGCAACGTAGACAAATGATAATGATGCCTGAATGGAGGCAATGCAGTGGAGATGAAAAGTGAATGGATTGTAGGGACATGTAGGAATAAGGATGAGTAGAGTTTAGTCATTATTCAGATGGATGGGTGGATGGATGGAGAAAGAGAGAGATGAAGCAACATTGGTCTTTTCCTCCATTGTTTCCTCATCTGGTTGCACAGAGGGTGTTACACGATATTTTTTCAGTACTCTCATTTGGAGGTCCTCTAAGTTATTAAAACCCTGTAATAAAACAGGTGAAACATTAGGATATTTCCATGTCCCTTTTTGATGACTGGGCTCATGAGAAAGAGGCAAGTTACTTAATGTCTAAAAATTCATGTCAAAATTCTGAAGCAGGTTAGTGCCACTGTGCCAAAGACAAATGAAGCCTCTGTTCCATCCATCAGTTTATTAAGGTTGGTTATACAAAGGGATCCTTGTACAGTCCAGACATATCCATAATAAGGAAAATGCCTAAGTCGCTACTACAAAGCATCATTTAAAAAAAATTTATTGCTGTGTCTCCAAACCAGCTTCCAATTATTTATGAAATTATTCTAGGAAATTGGAGTAAAATGTGAAAAAAATAAAAGAACAAAAGTAGATAAGAGCCATTCATAGTCCAGTTAAGAAAGGAAGGAAAAGGGGCACTCTACAGAGAATAGGCTATAAATCTTCGTCAAGGTTCTAGCATGTGAGAGCTGAAGGTCTGTCGTTTAGAATTTGTCTAAACGACAAAGAAGGAAGAACAGGGAGGAGCAGGCGAAAACCACAGCAATCCTGATTTTCCACTGTAAATCGTCGAGAATTCTTCATCATCCTGAAGGCCCATGAGAATCTAGTCCACTTCCTGTAGTGATGGTGCAGTGGAGCACTCAAGAACACAACTGTGGTGTCACGTGCCTGAGTCCAAATCCTGGCTTTCCAGTTTGGTGGCAACATCACTGTCACTACTAATCAGCATAGTTACTTAATGTCTCTGTGCCTCAGTATGCTCATCTATAAAATAGAAGATTAATAGCAATATTAGAAAAATTTTCTAATTACAATAACATCAAAAATAATAAAATAGGAATAAACTTAACGAAGGAGATAAAAGACTAGGACACTGAACTCTACAAAATATTGGTGAGGGCCGGGCACAGTAGCTCATGCCTGTGATCCTAGCACTTTGGGAGGCCAAAGTGGGAAGATTGCTTGAGGCCAGAAGTTCAAGACCAGCCTAGGCAACATAGTGAGATCCCATCTCTATAAAAAATAAAAACATTTTTAAAAAATGCTGAAAGAAATTAAAGACACAAACAGATTGGAAAGATATCCATATTCATGGATTGGAAGGTTTAACATTGTTAAAGTCTTCATACCACCCAAAGCAATCTATAGATTCAGTGCAAACCTTAACAAAATCCCAATAGCTTTTTTTTTTTTTTTTGCAAAATTAGAAAAATTCATTCTAAAATTCATATGGAATCTCAAGAGACTTTGAGTAGCCAAAACAATGTTGAGAAAGAACAATACTGGCAATCTCATACTTCCTGATTTCAAATTTTACCATAAAGCTACAGTAATAAAAACAGTGTGTCACTGGCATAAAGATAGATGTATAGACCAATGGAATGGAATAGAGGGCCCGGAAATAAACCTTTGCCTATTGGGTTGAATGATTTTTGACAAGGATGCCAAGGCCATTCAGTAAAGGACAATCTCTCTAGCAATTAATATCAGAAAAACTCGATATCCATGTGCAAAAGAATGAAGTAAGACCCTTACCTTACACCAAATGCAAAAATTAACTCAAATGCACCAAAGACCTAAATATAAGAGATGGGCTGCATACGGTAGCTCATATCTATAATCCCAGCACTTTGGGAGGCCAAGGTGAGAGGATCCCTTGAGCCCAGGAGTTGGAGACCAGCCTAGGCAACATAGTGGGACCCCGTCTCCACAAAACGTACAAAAATAAGCCAGGTGTAGTGCACCTACAGTCCCAGCTGCTCAGGAGGCTGAGGTGGGAGGATTGCTTGAGCTCAGAAGGTTGATGCTGCAGTGAGCCATCATCATGCCACTGCACTCCAGTCTGGGTGAGAGTGAGATCTTGTCTCTTAACGAATTAGTAAATGTAAGACATAAAGCTCTAAAACTCTTAGAAGAACAGCAACACTAAAAGCATGTGAAGCTCTTAGAACCTGGAACTGAGTAAAATCCCTGCCTCAGTCATACATGGATGGCTTCATGGGGCAAAGAATGGGCTGCTTACTTTACCTAGAGGTGTGGCAGATAGAGGGCTTATTTCCTACACCTAGTGAAAACAAGACCAAATTATCAGGGGGAAAAAAATGTACAAGTCTAAAGACAGAAGGACCACTAAAATCACAAACTCTTAAGAATTGAATCAAATCTTGTAGTTCATGCTGCCAGTGGGGGGAAGACCCTGAACATCTGAAAAATTCCAGTGAAGGGAAACCTGCTACCTCACAGCACAATCCACTGCCTGTTTCAAACTCTAGCTCCTTGCCTGTTTCCTCAGAGTTAATCTGCTTCTTTCCAGCAACTCTATTGGATCTACTGCCACTCTCTTTCAAGACAGTCTTAAACTGTATTTGGAGATAACTATAATGAACCTTTTGACAGATGTTTTCCTGCTCACAGCCAGCAAAAGGTGGGCTCAGCTAGAAGCAGATCAGGACTGTATGATGCAGCTGTTAATGAAGAAGCTAACTCACAATGGGCCTGCTTTGTTGGTGGCACAAGGGAGGTAACAGTCCTCCCATGTTCTGTGTATTTCAGAAAATCCGCTGAGCTTTGTGTGAATCAGTGAATTCCTGATGAATAAGTGAATGAATGAAGGACAGCTAGCATGAGGGGTCTACAAACATATCATACAAGAAACAAGCAGTTGTGTTCATATTCCAAGTGTTGAAGAGCATACTAAATAAACCGATTCTTAATATCTATGTCTAAGCTTCCAGAGGACTGTTGTTGGGAAGAAGGAGCCTTTTCTTTTTAAACTTATTAATTCAGCTCTACTGCTGTAAGGGACATGCAATAGCCAGAAGAAGGATTGTTCTGACATAACATATATATATATATGTATGTATAGCTTTAGAGGTGAGAACTAAGACAAATGTGTGGAGCTTACAGTGATACTGACATAGGCTTAAATTAAGGAATACCTACTTTAAAATTAGAACCAACAAAGGACAACTCTTCCCAGAGATCTGAGCTCTTCCTCAATCACAGTGCTGCAGGAATGCTCTCCAAGGACACCTGTGTTAGGTGAGAAGAACCCCCGTGTGGTATCCAAAGCTGAGATCCTATGACTTCTGTGATTTCTCAAGGCAGCTTCTTCAGTTCTGCCAGCTTTGTGAGATATTATACCCTGATGAAACTCCTGTTCCTCATAGATTCTTCAGGAGCCCACAACAGAATGGATTTTATCCCTGTTTCTTAGGGTTAGAACTGATTGGCCAAAATGAAACTTTCTCCAGCGCTCATCTACTCTTACTGATTTATATTTTTGCTTAGAGGTTTTTAACCACACAGAATATCTACACCCTAGACATTATAGAGACTTCCAGACCCTGGAATGTGAGCGAGAGATGGATAATCTCACCAAAAGTTTCCCTAGACATGTGTGGATCATATTAAATAATGCCGTGGCCCTAATACAAATGGAATCTCCAAACACATAGATGGCATGTGTCCTGTCCCTAAATACCACCCCAGTGCCTTCTGGCCATTTTTCTGTTTACTATACTACAACGTGTAAAGGGAGGTGTCACTAACATGCACACACCAGTATCCACAGCCCGTGGGCATCCCAGCACCAAGGAGAAGGTCAATGGTAACAGCTGATTTTTCTAAATGAAAACTAAATAAATACTCAAGGCAAGCACAAACATTCATTATCTTCAGGATGTATATGCTTGAAACAGACCTGTTATTCTATCACATCCCATTTAGAAAAATTTAAAATAATATGATGCATAAATGCCTTTCTGAATTTAGGAAGAGAGAAACCGTATGGCTGAGTGGCTTGAAGCCTCTGATGGGGACAGAGATGCTCTGGTGCTATTCTTCTTCCTAGTTTCCCAGCCTGAACTCGCTGGGTGACTTTAGGCAATGGGTCTGTCCTTCTGTGCCTTTGTTTTCTCGAAAATAAGGCACACATGAATAGCATCTTGTTTCCCATTCTGGGCTTTTGTGAGACTTGACAAAGGTTGTATCTCTTCTCTTAATCCCACTAGATTACTTCAGTTGGCTTCGTCGTGGTCCCTTGCCACTAATGCACAAAGCCTTTACACTATCACATCTGACCTCTGCACCGACCATGGAAAATCAATACGACTTTTTGTGCATGTGTATTTTCACCAATTAAATTTAAAATGAGGTGTTAAACAAGATTCTTGGTGTGCTTGACATCTAAGTCCCAGATTTGGCAAACGATAAGATCCTGCCCTTGGGAGCTAAGGCCTCAGATATAGTATCAGGTTAGTAAAGAAGCAGCTCCAAGGTTAACTCAATTGCTGAGACATTTATGGTACTTCTCTGTTGATTATTTACCTTGGGTGCTATTTTAGTGAGCTGCAATGACCTGAAAAGACAACACTGGGAAACTGATGATTCATCCTTTCGTAAGAACAGGGCACCTTCCCTAGGCAATGCAGTAGATTTTACTAGTGTTCTTCTTGAAGCTCTCTTAGAAAGGGATCTGAGCTTCTTGAGCTATACCATACTTCTGTCAACAATCATGTCAGGAAAAGGGCCCGGTAAGACATGCTCAAAGATTTTCTCTTCTGTTACTTTTGTTACTTTTATTACCAAATTACAGTCCATACCAAATAAGTCTCTGGGGATGGGACCCAGGCATCAGGATTTTTTGAAGCTCTCCAGGTGATTTCTTGTCTTACCTTACTTGTCTTACCTTAAATGGAAAAATTAATCCAACTGTCCAAAATCCCCTATTGTCATCCATTCAACAGGCATCTGTCAAATTCCTGCTCTGCATTAGTCATTGAATTAGGTACTGAATAGAACTCGTAGAGAAGAAAATAGACATGGTTCCTGGCTTCTTGACACTTGCACTAGTGGAGAGATCATTGAGAAAACAAGGAAACAAGAAAATGAATAAATAATTATGAGTTGTGATAATTCTAACAAGTAAGCACACAGTGATATAGAATTACAGAGAAAGAAGGTGGAGATTATGTTGGGTGGGGAGGTAAACCTGGAGGACCAAAGGATGGAGAGGTATCTTGGCTGCGAGTTCCAGGGAGGTAGTTCCAGGGAAAAAGGAATGGCATGTGTGGAGGCTCTGAGCCGGAAAAGTTGGACACATATGGGAATAAAGGAACTTTGTTGCTTGTTACTCAAAATGTGGTCTGTAGAGCAGCAACATCAGGATTCCCTGGGAGCTTTAGAGAAATGCTGAATCCCAGGCCCCACCCCAGACCAAATGAATCAAAATTTGCATTTTAACAAGATCCCCAGGTAACTTGTTTTCATATTAAAGTTGAGGAGCACTGTCAAAAAGCATAGGTTCCAACTGTGGGTGCACAATGAAATCACCCGGAGAGCTTCAAAGAATCCTGATGCCTGGGTCCCATCCCCAAAGGCTTATTTGGTATGGAATGTAACTTGGACATCAGGATTTTTGTTAAGCTCCCAGGGGATTCTAAAATGCAGTAACATTTGAGAATCACTTATCTGAAGAACAGCTCCTGGCAAAGGGTAAACACTTGATGAGTATTTGTGAATCAAACGCTTGACGCTGTAGATTTCCCAGAGATTCCTGCAAACAGGCTGCAGGCAGGCACGAATGCTACCCTCCTCCAAATGAGTGCACTGGAAGGGCTACGTTTCCCAGAAAAATGAAGCAAATTCATGAACCATTCGGAGAAATGAATTCAAGGATCACTATTCCAGGGACCAATTAAATTCTTCTGTCTGTCAGGGAGCCACTAATTTGGGCATTTTTGTGAATTCCCTGGAGTTGGAAGGAGATCTCGCTAGTGACTGGACACAGGTGAGGGAAAGCAACCGTGAGTTGGACTCATGGAAAGATGGCATGATTTTCAGATTTTCTTTCCCAACCACAGAGAGCCCACACCAGAGAAAACCCTCTTCAGGACAGTCTGGTGACATTCTTGACTAATGAGCTCAGAACAGAATGTCCCTGCCCTAGCATTATCAGGGAAGACTTGGGGGGTGGGGTGGGGGATGTGTGAAAGAGTACAGGGTGTGATCGAATGGAAGATGTGCATAGCACAGCTCTGAGGGGAAGGCCCCTGGGTACTTCCTGCACCTGTGCGTCGCAAGCAATAACAGCCAACAATGCATGCATACATTGGAGAGTTCAACACAAACACTGTGTCAAGGACCATTAGTGACCATGGGCACAGTCAGCTTCCCATTGCCCAAGAGTGGCCTGAGGAGAACTGAGAAGCGCAGAGCAACCCCTGCACTCCCCACAGGAGGTTGCAAAAGATTTTTAGGAGAATAAGGTTCATTCATTTCCTCCTTGCCAGGGCCCTCAGCTTTCAAGGCCTCTTCGAAATACTGCTATACGAGGTAAGAAACAGTCATGCAAGTTGGGTAATAACGTAAATTGACACTGGAGGAAGGGGCAAGAAGGGAAATTTGGATGACACAAATCAATCTTTAAGGGCTTCCTCAACCTTGTGGGAAAAACAAAAGATTTTTATTTTTCGTAATAAAATAAGCAATATCCTGGCATGGGAGAGATACCATGAACCCCAAAAATAGCTGCATTAACCCTTTCTGGCTCTTCAACACACTACTGACTCAGTAGAATGAACAACTTTCTAGTTGGAAGCTGCCCATTCTGAAGTATAGGCACTAAACAAAGTTACCGTGTTTTAAGGGTCACGAAGATGGCTTGGCTAAATGCGCCTAAGCAGAACTGAAGAATTACATGGGCTGAAGAACGCATAAATACATATCACTTTCTCACATATAAATGTCTTTGAAAATAAGAATGTCAAAATTCAATGTGAACTGAATAACTGAATATCAAGGAAACAGCATATTCTTTGGGGGTAAATGATTTTCCTCAATAACTTGTATTTAGTGTACTTCTTCTGTGGGCTTCCTAAAGAGCTGGAAATGCGGTCCCTGCAATGGTTGTGTGTACATGGTGCCCACCCATGAGTATAGCTGTGTAAGTTACAACTCTTGATGAGTTCCACACCTGCACGTGGACTGGGGCAAGAGACCAAAGAAAAACACACTAAGATGCTCCCTGGTTCCACTTTAAATTCATGACCACAAGCCTCACGTGGACCTGAATACTGCCCATCAGAGTTACCGTGTGTTCACACCCCACTCTCTCCCACCATCTTTGATGTTTATTTCCCATCTTCTTTCTTCTAAAACTCCTCATCTCTCTTCCTTATCTCCCTATTTCAATTTTCTTAAGTAGAAATTAAAGAGAAACCCCCCATTCTGCCACCATCACCTTTACCCAACAACTGATATCTGTGCCAATCCATACATTCTGCTTTTTCTCTGTTTTGCCACAGATACGCTGTCATTACTGCTAACCAACAGCAACGATGACACTTAGGCGTTAGATCCCACCCCCTCCTATCATCTCGAGGAGTGAGCCCTCTCTTCTGCATCATTGTCTCTCCTCCCTGTTAGAGAATTCCCATCAATATGTCAACACATTATAAAGCCTCCCATCTTTTTAATGCTCCTTTGCCCTCCTCATCTCTCTCCATGACCACCTAATTTTTCTGCTTCTCTTTAGAGCAAAACTTTTCAAAGGACTTTCAAAAGATTTGTTTATTCACCTTATCTCTACTTTTCTTCTTTATTCCTTTTTGACCCAAATCTAATCTGGTTTTTGTCCCCACCACTCATGTTAACTATGTGTATCAAGGTTACAAGAGACTTCTTCATCACTAAATCTAATGATCAATTCTCAATATTCATCATGTGCAAACTAGCAAAAGTCAAAACACTATTTGGCTTATTGGACTCTTAGGTCTTCTTCTAGATTTTGGACAGCTTCCCCATCTCTTTTGCTGCTTCCTCTTCATCAGCTCTAACTTTCAATTTGCAAATACCCCCACACTCTTCTCTCTCTGCCTACCCTCACCCCCTAGGTGATCTCATACAATTTCATGGCTCTAACCATCTCCTCTGAACTTTAACCTGTACATCCTCCTCCTTACTTGACATCTCCACTTGGATGTCAACTGAGCAAATTGAACTTACTGTGTCCAAATCCAGATGCTCAATTTTCCTCTCAAACCTACTCTTTTCTTTTCCCCAATCCCATTAAACAACAACTCAATTTTTGCAGTGGCTTGGGCCAAAGACCTTAGAATCATCTTTGGCTCCTCTCTTTCCCTTATTCCCCAACATCACAACATTTAATTAAGCAGTAAACTTCATAGGCTCTATCTTTAAAATATATCCTGAATGTAACTGATGATTTATTGGCACTTTTACCTCTGCTGTCCTGTGTCAAGCCATCAACATCTCTCCCCTTGATTATTTTAGTCACATCCAATGTGATCTACTTGCTTCAATATTTGCCCCCTTATTTCTCCATAGGACAATAAGAGTGATCATTTTAAAATATACGTCCCTCCTCTGCTTAAAATTTTCTAGTGGCCAAAGCCTTTTAATGACCAACAAGTTCCCACACAACCTTGGCAGCCATGCCCCACCCTGTACCTGTGTAACTCCATCCCCTCCCCCACCTACTGCCATGCTTCTATTTTCTCACTCTGCTTCAGCCACAGCGGCCTCCTAGCGACTCCTAGACATGCCAGGCAAGTTCTTACCCTGCCGTTAGCTAAATAGTTTGCTACCTCTTGCCTAGTGGTGTCTTCTCAAGTGCTCCCTGATCAGCAAAACCTTCCCAATCACTTTTTGTAAAATATCAATTTCCATCCAGCATCTCCTTTCCCCTTTATCATGCTTGATTTTATACCTGTAGCACGTGATCACATTATATATCATATGAACTTCCTTACTATCTGCCTCCTTTCATTAGAAATTATCTGTTTAAGAGCAGAGATTTTGATTTCTTCTTGCCATATTTATAGCACCTAGAACAGAATTTGTCATGTAGTATGCACCTCAAAATTTGTCAAATGAGTGAATGAAGAAGTATAGCCAATTTAGTCATTGCAGCAGTGGAAAAAATATCAAACAAGTAAAATCAGTCTTTGCTATCAAAGGAGTTGTGTGCATGAACAAAGATAATTCCACAATACTGACCAAGAATCCCCTATATGCTAAGCATTGTGTTATGCAATGTAACGAGAAAACAATGGTTGTCTTTTACGGTTTCTTCAAGAAAACTAAACAGCAATAAGGAAGGTAACATGCAAATGGGTGGGGAGAAATGAGATAACACATTCAAGGAAAACATAGCAATTCTCAGCTGATAGGAGTATTATAGCATAAGCATTTATGGAGGTCCTGTTGTGTGCTTTTAGCTAACATTTATTGAACTCTTGTAATGTGTCAGGCAGGACATGAAGGGCTTCACAGGTATTAACTCATACACAGCTTTCAAGAATATTATGAGACACATATTATTTTAAATTCCATTTTATAGAAGACAAAATTAAAGCACAGAAACTCAAGTTAGTGACCCATGATAGCAGCACGTTAAAAAAATGTAATTAGATAAATACTAAAACCACAAATGTGCAGACTGAAAAGCAGGAAGAAAGTGGACCTATCAATGATCAAAGCCCATTTATTTGCTTATCATGTACTCAACATCGGGTACCATATGAAAACAATCCCATATAGTAAGAGTATTGCACTTTTGGAGGTGGTCTCCCCTTTTCAGAAGAGTTGCTATCGGGGCATTAGGGCCTTACAACACTGATTCTCAATGTTTAATAAAAATAGGGGTCCTGATAAAATGCAGATTAGGTCTGAGTAGGACCTGAGATTCTGCATTTGTCACAAACTCCCAGGAGGTGCTTCTGCTAGAGGCCCATGCTTGCTACCCTGAGTAGCAAGAACGCAAACAAATTAGTACCCACATCTGAGTAAAAAAATAGGACGGGTGTGGTGTCTCATGCCTATAATC